ATATTACTATACTATATACCGTTAAAACTTCGTCCCATGAAGGCACAGAGTAATTAACGCTACATTTTATAGGAATTGCCACCGTGCTATAAGAATTGAAACAAAATTGAATCCATGTAACAACCTGCAGTAAAAAAAGAAAAATTTGCACAGTGTCAAACAAAAATCGTTTAGTTTTAATTGTGGTAGGGTTGATTATTGGGGTTTTCAAACTTACAATTAGTAAATTTCATCTCCTTGAATTGAGTATGATATTTGTATGATTCTTCGAATATTACACTATTTATTTCAACACGCCAACCGTTATTTATTTCATGTAGGACTTTTTAGCCGCTTATCAACGTCAAAATTTTTTATATTATTGTATTTACCTTTAGATACATGCTTTGATACAATTAGTATTTTTGTATTATTATCAACATCTTTTGTAGCATTTATTGAGCAATCAATATTTAAATTCAATTTTCGAATATAAACAAGTTTTCTTGATATGAAAATTAAATAACTAACCTCGTATCAAAATGAAAATAAAAAATTAGAAAGGTCACTGACCCTAACCCTGAGTGACCTTTCTAATTTTTTAATTGTAATTGTTATTCTTTCTTTTGTTTACTTTCTAATTGTTATTCTTCGCGATTTACTGATAGAGAAGCAAACTCCTTTAGTACCTACTACTTAAGATAGAGTACATATCGTTTTAGCCTTTCCATTATATTTACAACGTACATACAACCATATACTAATTTGAAAAATTCTCCATTCGCCTAACTGGTTTACCTACAATGTTTCTTTTTTAATAGAACATTTTTCTCCTGCAGTTATCTCATAGTAATTTTGCTCGAACAAAACCTGTGTTAAAATTTCCAGGCCATCAATTTTGACTATTTTGTAATTTTAATTGGGTTATAATACGCACCTACTTATTAATTTCAATGATTTGAGAATGAATTGTTTCCACATTTATTTATAGTAATTTATATTGCGCCACATATTCATTAACCGTCCGAATATATTAATCCATTTTATTGTTCTGACATTTGCCCCGAGATAATTTTTGATAGCCTTTCATGCGTCCTTACGATAGAACGAGAATACTAAAACACTATCTTTATCAACATAACAACATGATGTTTTTTGTTTGATATTTTTGTAACTTAGTATGCGTGCATGCGTAGTTATTATGAACAAAACAAGGTAATACGGTAAGTTTTTGTGATTACTAAAATAGGTAGGTATGCTTATGTATGGTATGTTTAAGTGGTATATTTTGTAAACAGTTTTGTCGTATCTTTATACTAATATTAATCGTTTAAAATAAAAAAGACAAAACGAAAAGTAGTTTAGTCAATTATACACCTATACTTAAAAAAACTTATACAATTTACTAAATAATAGATTTATAATTTTCCGGATAATAGATAATCATAATCTATCTTCACATCAAGATCTGTTCAGCCATGTAGTCGTAGTAGTTAATGATAAAGAAATAAATGACAGACAGGCACACTTTCGGATATAATATTAGTATGGATGGCTAAATAGAAAATAAAATATATTTATTAAATTTTATTGACTCAAACGATTTGGGCCGCCATATTCAACTTCAAATGGAAAACAGGGAAATCAACGCGAATCAAAATAATGTATTTAATTTAACTTCTACCATAGAGTCAGAAGAATATAGACTTAAAATATCTCCAAAGTGTATAGGTATACGAATAAAGCTAATGAACAAGATAATTCAACAAACAAGACGCTATAAAGACGTGTATATATATTCTACTTAAATTCGTACCTACATACATTTTATTGGTCCTGTTTTAATTTTGTCATGACAGAAGCCAGTTAATTGATTGTGTAACAAAATATAGTAGTTAAGGACACTGGTATTAAAACATTAATTGATATAACCAGTTAACCACATTCCACAATTGTCACTTATAGAGGTTCAATTTGGGTGCCGAGGGGTCACTCATCAAACTCCAATTATTACCGACAAATGCTAGCAACCTACAGACATTGTATGATGTAAATAGGGCTGTCAAATATTACATGACAATTATATGTTTATAAGAAATTCGAAATTCTAATAAATCGTTAATTCTAATCTGTGATGGCTACACAATTTTATCAAGTATAGGTAATGCCGGGAAATGTATTTTGAAGAACATTTCGAATACAGAAATTCTAAAATATTTAGCTGCAACAATGAGCCTATCTAGCCCTTGCCTATATAAACGAACCCAATCTATGTCATAACTGACAAAATAGACTGATAAAATTTTATTGTTGTTTTGTTTGCTGCAACACCAGTATTACCTCTCCAGAAAAACCTCTAAAATCCTGACGTTTGGAATAAGTACTTCCATACAAAATTACCTACATATACATATATTAGTTTCAAAATTTGGTACTTGCCTGATTCTAACTAATGACCTAGATTACCTAAATTTACCTAGCCTAGACTCCTTTCAAAAATTTTAAAGATAATTAATTAAATTAACATTAAAATTTTTGGCTCTCTTGCTAAATAAAATAATCTAAAGTATACTTTAAAATATATATTACAATACATTATAAAACATTAGAACAGAAAAGAATCGGTATTTATTTTTTTTAATCTTAACTGGCAACCTTAACTTCAAGAAGATATGTTCGTAATTAATATTTTGCTAAATTTTTATTAGGTTTTTTTTAGCGACAACCACTCGATGACAGTAAGCGACAACTGTATTTTAACGTATTACGTATTTACTCGCTTTTTCATATATGTATTTTTGCTATCTAAGGTCTATCTAAGATTAGTCCTTAAATCATTATTTAAAAAAAAAGAAGAAGAATAATTTTACACTGCTTGACAAATTACATTCATACATTAAATATAAACTTTCATAACTTTAATTTTAAAAAGTATCAGTCAAATTTGTACATTGTAGGTTTTCCGAAAGTGGCAATAGAAATAATAAATATTATTATAACAATGTATATAGGTACTTAAGTTTTAGTCTATTCTATTTTAAGCAATTACGACCTAATAATACGCAATTTAGAATCGCATCAAACAAACATACTTACATAATAACAAATACTTGTACGACACTCTACCTACTAAAAGTATATGTATAACAATATTGACGGAGCGTTCGTTGCCTCCTAACATGTGACTTGACATCACAAATATTGACACTGTTACGGTTGCTCTCCTTATCAGAGACGAAAACAGAAAACGGCTAACACACGCTTCATAAGGTTTTTTTAAGCTGCTGGAATAGCAAATATGCTGAGAGTTCACCTGATCGTGGCAGCAAATATCACCTCTATACTTACATGAACAGCACAACGAAAACAACGTCATCATGCGACGCCCTTTACTGACTTACATGTTCCCATTTCGGAAGATTAACGTGTAATGTTTCATACCCTGTAATTTCGCTGATTTCAACCGAAACACTCCTTACAAAGCAAACAAATTTCTCTCACTTTATAAAATATATATTCCAAGGAAGGAGATCTTCCGACACTTACGTTATTATAATAATTATGGGAACTAGAAAACTGATATAAACTTATTTTGTAAGTATAAACATTTTGTAAGTAAATGCATAATATTACGTATAGAAAACACCATGATCGATACACCAATCATACTCATGAAAATAAATGTTTATACCGTACGAGGAGTCGAACCTGTGACCATCGGAAGCAAAGCAGTGAATTAAACCGTTAGACCACCGAGGCCGTCAAAATGTAAGCACATATCTACTAAAATATAGAAATGCAAAATAAATATATCTAATACAATCATGTGACCACATACATGTGACACAAAAGCAATGATACATAAAAATGTTGTGTTTGTTGTTTATATGATTTACTTATATTTCTCTTCTCATTTATTTATTTTAAGTGACTATTCATTACAAAATATTCGTATAAAGCCGCTCAGTTCGTATATATTAAACAAAGAGTGAAGTTGTATTATTTTCTATATTAACAATATCTAATAAATAAAAACATATTTTTTTAATTATATATAATGTTACTGTACATATATTTTTCTTCAATATGTCTCCTATTATCTGCGATTCTCGTGCTAAAAAAAATTAAGACTGGAAAAAAGGTAAATAAATTAGGCTAAAAATTATCTTACACATATATAAAATTCTCGTGTCACAGTTTTCGTTCCCATACTCCTCCGAAACGGCTTGACCGATTCTCATGAAATTTTGTGATCGTATTGAGTAGGTCTGAGAATCGGCCAACATCTATTTTTCATCCCCCTAAATGTTAGGGGTAGTCCACCCCTAAATTTTTTATTTTATTTTAAGGCAAAACAACGTTTGCCTGGACAGCTAGTTTTATATAAAAACGTTTAAAGTACAAACTGAATATTTAATATTACAAAGATTATACTTCTGTAGAGACCTTGATTATAAAAACGTTAAATTATCTAATACTCGTTTTATTCTACTTCTTATTCAATCTAGTTATTATTCTACTCTGTGCTTTTCTATCGAGCTGTAATATTAATTTGAAAGCAAGTGACAAAATAAATAGTAAAAATTAATACGCGCTTTAAAATTTCATTGCCACTGAAAAACCAATTTCAATTTAGCTAAAATGTGATAGACTATGCGTAAGTAAACATTTCCGATTCCCAAATTTTAACGGCTCAAATAATAAATTGTATTCTATAACTCATTTTTAAAGTTTTTAATTCATTGGAATAACAAACAAGTTGACGACTTATCTAACGGTAAGAGGTAACCGTTTATTTCACTGTCATATCTCACCCTGAACCGAAACAGGTAACAAAGCAAGTTGCTTAGCGACCGAAATAGGCTGAAGTACCTACACAAACATTTTACGGTGCCTAGACTAGACTTTTTAAAGAAAAGAGGCTCTTACATATATCCATTATATCATATTTTGAATATATAAACATCATGACATATTTTGAAGAATACTGTACTTTAATTGCTTAATCAATGATTCCTCAGGTAACGATGGGGGGTTGGCTCAGTTATTTGTGGTGGGGAGGCGACCCCGACCTACGGAACCCTCTGTCGGGGTTGACAAGACGCGAGGTGTACGCCGTACAGAAATCATGGGCCCCCGTGTACGCAGACGCTGCCAACACCGGCACTGAATTATTAAAAAGGTAAAATAGATAAACTACAGAACATAAATCGATACAGAAAAGTCATTACATTACTTTTCATATCACTTCGAATGTTACGTAGTTAATTATTTATTGATGACTAAATATGTGTTGCCATAGTGTTCACAAAATTGAACTAATATTTTCGTTCATTTTAAAGATACATTCATGATAATTATCCTAGATGAAATAGTCAAAGGTATAATCATTTGGAGGTATCTTGGTAATCGTAACACTTAACATAGTTTTTGCTAAGTTCTTATATTATAACCCAATAACAATGCCTATGATATTGGATTTGGTCTAGTCGAATGTTTTTGATTAAACATTCGACTTCATTTTTTTATTTATACAATTAAAAAAAAATCCCTGAAGAAGGGCTCATTTGCAATGTTGTAGACAGGATATTCCTGATATGGCGCTTATGTTACTTTCTACTGTGTTAAACTGCCATCATTCAAAAATTCAAATCGATCGATACATAACATTGCCGTCGTGAAGGAATTTGTACCTAATGTCAAGTTATTATTACATAATTAGGCTAATTGAAGGCAATCGATATCACATTAAACATATGCTGTTACTAAGTGAACGATTACTTAACAGATGAGCATATTATGACGTAAATTTAATAAATACAATTTTTACCCATTCTTCTAGTCTGCAGCGGTATTCCAAATGCTGCGGTAGAATTAAAAATTATGACCGTACAAATATGTTAATCTCAATGAAGATCATTTTTTATGTAAATGGAATGGTGAACATAATGACGGGACCCTTGATTGAAAATGGTATTAGTCATCTATGTACCCGAATAACAGCAAGGATATCAGGTCATTATGTGATGTCCATGTCAATTATGTATTACCACATCAGAGAACTAAAATATGACAAAGTTTGGATAACGTTGTATTTATTATTGTAGACTAGAGTCTATTCTATTCCAATTAAATTAATTTAAGAGGTCAAATAAATATAATTAAATAGATATTATCCGACTCGCCTAGCAACGCTCACCAAATACAAATTGACGTCTGTACGAGTATAACTCTGCAATATAACAACAACAATACACAATTGAATCACTTCATACGATGTCGTGTAATATGAATGTAAATTCAATTCGGCCTCATTGCTTGCTCTATGACTGGATAGAACGTCAATTTCTATTTAATATATTGGTGTAACGACCCAACACGACTTGGGACTTGGTACCACTTTTGTTAGCTATATTATTGACTTGTTTTGTAGATAACAAACAGACATACAGCAATCATAAAAAGTGCTTCTAGTTTAGTACTTTAAATGGTAATAACAATTCTCAGTAACTTATCTTATTTTCTATCCTATTAGATGCAAGTCAACCCAAAAGGTCGTTATAAAAATTTGGATGACACCAAGAAAACTGCGTTTATAGAAAGACTCTCCATTAAAGGAAACACCAATATCACAGATACCGATACAAAACAATAAACAATCCGATACACAGAGATAGGCTCTGAACTTACTTCACTACCATAGGGTAGTGAAGTAATGATACCCGGTGAAATGTTTACTTGTCAAGTATTGCTTTCACCACAACATCAACAGTTAACAATACCTCTGGCCATCCCACTTAAGTAACAGTCATGACCGTATCTTATTAGGTAGGTACATATATTATATTGATTATCATATCCAGAAACTTGTAAAATAAATACAGAGCATTAATTCGTTGACCGTTTTAAAAAAATATCGTTTTTCTTACGATTTCACAATGGAGAAGTTTCTCAATGTCTATAACTTTGTACACGTAAACATGTAGGAATTTAGGAACAAATACAAATTCGGATTAAGTAGATAATTAGTAAGATTAGTAAGTGCTGTTGAGGATTCTTTTATCGATTAAATTTCCTGCCTTTTCGATATTAAGTATGTACCCTAAATCGTGATATTGTTTCACTAGTGATATCGATTATTTCTTGAAGAAACACTAGTTGTTTCGTTTGCTACGACTTTTCAATTCTATATAGTTAGCAACTGTGCCATGGCAACAACATTACAACTGATAAATGTGATCCAGAAGTAACGATTTATCGTGACGATTTGTTTCTGACAGCGAAGTCAGGGCAGCAGTTGGTCGGAAGAGCTCTACCCAAGCCGCAACCAAGAAACAAATTGCCTATGAAAATTATTCCTATAACAATAAGTGAGTTATTTATTGTCATAGGTATTACATACAAATTGACTAGACAGGTCAATTTGTTTGATTTGTTTTGATGGTAAAATATGATCTCATAAATTTCTATGTATCTACTACTAGCGACAACGACTTGCAAATAGAATTATATATACTAGAGATAAACATAAAACAGACGTAGACTGTAAAACATGGTAAGGGTATCCACTCCGATGAAATGATACGGTCTAATATAGAATGTCCATAAAAGGACGCCACTTTTCACATCAATTTCGATAGCATTGGAATTATTACAATCGAATCTGCTGTCTCCTCCCTATTTCACAATATAACAATAACAACGATTAGGGTCGCAACTCACGACATTTGCAAATAAAGGAAAACTTCTAAGTCCACAATATCGATAGCTTTGCCAGGTGGCACGATTTGCAGGGGACTTTTCCCCAGCAGCAATGGGACAAAAGTTTAATCTTTTTTGTCTTTGTCGACAAAATTGTTTTCAACTTCGTTCTCCGATTGTTTTTAAATTTATCTAAAAACAACCATTGTTTAAGTCTTGCTCCGAATATAAATTTGAATTAAGAGAAGAAAATTAATGGAAATCAACTGAATAATTTATAAGTATATATTTGGATACTTTTTACATATATGTATAGATATTATTTGTTCAACATCCGATGCTTTTGTATAATCATCTTCTATACTACTATTAAATATTTTACTAACTTATAAGTTATTTCTTATAGATCCTTGACTTTAAAACTATAGCACAAAGATTAAACTTACTTACTACTACTTAAATGAATGATTATTATGTTGAATAAAACATTTGAACCTGTTATAACATTAATAGGTAGGTAATAATGTCAAATATCTTGTACAAGTTCAAATGATTATCAACTGTGTTCACGATTTCTAGTTTTTCAAAAAATATGTCCATATAAATGCTTAAATGGCAGTACACTAACAACCTTAGTCTCTGATTTTCATGCATATATGTCGGTTACAATTCAAATGTAGTCAATCATCTCTTTTGCTGGTCAATCAATATTTTTTTTTTATTTTAATAATATTTTATGGGCTAGGTCAAAATTTGGGGCACTCGCCTGTTAACAACAGAAATAAATAGGAACCCGAAACCACAATCAAATTAGTGATATAATGAATCACACGGGCTTTCTTTTGTCTCACGCAATTTATAGGTCAACCGCATAGATTTATTATGTATCTACACGCTATTCACTTACTACAAGTAGAGTAGGCCCGATGCCAAACTAATTTACAATGAAAATGAAAAAAGAGGATACATCTTAAGAGGTATAATTTTTCTGTGTATTTTTGTCACCTAACTCATACTAAACGGCAAGATTGGTTGTATACTAATATAATCAATATATATCTATGTATTCCTGAACAGTTTCAAAACACAGTTGAACCGGTAATAGTAACGTGCTGATTTTCTGGGCAATATATGTCTGCATAGTCCGCTGGTAGAAATGTATAAATGTTGTAGAATTCTCTGAATATTTATCCACTAATATAGCGTCTCAGCCTTCGATTTTAGTAAATAAAAACGAGAAAATAATGCTGAACAAATGAATCAGTGCCCTCAAGTCCCTAAGTATTAAACAGAGCTTGTACCTACTGTATTTTACCTACACTACAACTAAAAGACAAACTGAAATATTTGGTACTGGTCTTGATGTTGGCCTTAAGTAATATTCTTACCATTACCTTTTTTTATTAGGGTATACATAGTTTATTTACCTACGTGTAAATTTACTACAACATCCTCGCATCGAAATTAAAATCAACTCAATATAAACTTTATGATCTACTAAAATTTTATTTTCAATGGCCGCTTAATTTTATGGGCTGTCCAGATCAAAACACATGTTTATTGGACGAGCTTCTATCTACACTCTGACGCCATTGATTTATGAGCATTCTAAAAATCTTAGTGGAATTGTGCTGATTTATTTATTTATATAGCTTAGCCCTAACCCAATTTATATTCTTTTATATTACGAAATGTGTTTGTCTTGTAAAATTGTACGTATATTACAAATAGTCAATCGCCAAATTGGACAAGTTGATTCAATCTGTATAAGAATTGATCGCTACCATACTCATAATATATAAAAAGCTAGTACTCTTACTCAAGCTTTCTAGCGTCTTTCTTCCCGTTGTGATATAGCCCCTCCGAGATTTTTACATGAGATGAACATTCTGAAAAACAACTCTTTTATAATTTATCTTATATTGTGTATGGAGACAAGTGTATGTATGATGTGTGTATGTTTCCTATAGACTTGACTCGTGACCTTCAAACAGTACCCAATCATTTAAACATTACGTATCAGTCAATATTCAATGTTATTTTGATTATATTACAGATTCTTCCGAGCGTACCCCGACGCGAAGGACTTCTTCAAAATGCTAAAGAATGTACCCGAAGAGGAATTTTCTGGAAATATACAATTCAAAGCGCATGTAATCAATTTAATGTCGGCACTGAACTTGGCAGTCGTAAACCTCAACCAACCTGAAATTGTCGCCGCACTGATGGTCAAAATCGGAGATTCCCACAAGAAAAGACAAATCAAAGAAAAGAATTTCCATGTAAGAATAATCAGTTTAATTTAGCGTCTTTTGAGCCCTTTCTGTGAGGCACATTAAATATCTAGACATACTTAATTTTAATATTTATGTATACCTTTACTATTTTTATGTGAATGTATGCTGTATATTATCTATTTCTGTATCTCCGAGTATAGTAGATATACTTACTGTTATTCGTATAGTGTATAGTGTAGTAGTGTATAGTGCATTACCTAACTTTTCTTTAGTCAAAGCTTTTATTTCGTAGATTTGACACTTGATTAGATTAGACACTTTTTGTTTGGTACATTTATTTAATGTTTTATTTTGTAATTATTTTTCAGTGCGCAAAAAATAGTGTTATTATTACTTTATGGTCGCGAAATAATAATACATCAAAATTAGCTCACTTAATATTGTATTTATTTCAGGATTTGAAAGAAGTCATCGTGAAAATGTTCATAGAAGTGCTGAAATTAGACAACTCAACTCTAGGCGCTTGGGCCAAAGCAGTGGATTTCTGGTATAAAAACATTTTCAATTCATTAAACTCGACAGAGGTGAGGTAACAGCTGTACGCAATTGTTAAACCTTTGTAACAAATCTACCTACAGCTGACCAAAGTTGCAATAATAATTCGTCGGTCTCCGAAGGCTTATACAATTTAATTTTATTAATCAGTGTAATGTTATATACATTGATTAAATAAGCTTGCTTTTTGTTTAGTTAGCACGCTATAAAGCTTTTATCACGTTTAGGATATTTTCTTTATGTTTATTACGTACCTCAATTGTCGTTTATCCAAAAACTATAAAAAAAGGAAAATCGATTTAAAATTGCATCAGTAATATTTATCAAATAAAATAAATTAGGTATCCTTAACTAAAAAAAATTTTATTTACTTCGTCAAATTTACTTATTGGATACCTACCAAAGAGAATACGAACCAATTATAAAAAATTCTATATTTTAAATATATCTTAGTTATAGTAATAATTAATTAGTATTTTATAAATACATCAACACTGATTCTATGCACTTTACTAACTTCTAAATCTGTTACTGACATTAAATAAAATTACTTTAAATATATGTTTACGTACTACCTAAATGAGATTATTGTACATTTAATATTGTAAGTCAGTTGTATTAACCATATATCTACCTACCGTATAACTATGTATCCATACATCGATTGATTTATGTTATTTTGATATTCCGATATCATTTACGTTTCATGTATAAAATATGTTATAATGTCATAGGTATTTGCGTCAAATGTTTATATGATTATTTATTGTTTAGCTATTATAAGGTTCAATAAATAAATAATTGTGAATTATATATACTTTCATATATGTAATCAATAAATTCTCGCATAAGATTTGCACATATAGCAGTCGAATTCATTGTCTTATATATAAGTTTTTTTATATTAATGACGTTTGTTACATTTGAAACTCAGAATTTTATACTCATCTTCACACAGGTAAAGATAAGTAACATTTTATTATACAGAAGTAATTTATAAATGTTGTCAGCAGAATGTATATATATCTACATATATAATAAAAGAATATTCATTGTACCTAATTAATGTAATGCGAGTATCTCTTCCATTTTGTAGTGACTTATGTAAATATTATCTAGGTACTTACTTACAGAATGTAAATGAAGGCATTTTTATAATTTTTGTTTTACTTCAAACCTACTTAAACGAGTAACCCCTTTTCTCTGAAATAATAAGCTGAACAGTAGGTACGGCCACAGATAACATAATATTACATAGGTAGTACATAGAATTTAATTTCAATACTGAATTCAGTTATCGTTCCACAATTCTTCACAAATCACAAATTTCTTCACAATTCACAAATCGTGAAACACAATTAATAGCAAACGATTAGTTATAATGTTAATAAAGAGTTAAGTTGAATTACCATGAAATATAAAACATACATTCTAGCAACGCATATAGTTCCTAGAATACCATTCAAATTTACAATTCTACATTTTTTATGTAACTCTATTGGCATAGAAGTTGTCGGCTTACCTAATAGTAGGTAAGTTTTTTTAGTGGATATTTTTTTTTGTGGATGATAATGGAATGGTGCACCCGCCTGCGCTAACGGTTTACCCTGGCGGGGCACCAGTGGAGGATGATAAGATGAGCATGAGGTCAGGTCAATTAGCCCATCGTGACAAATTCACCTGGAATTTAACACGATTGTTTCCAGGGAGAACCGCGTGGAGGTCGACCTGATATGGTACATTGCTAGCAATGGGGTTATCAATGCACATTACTAACAATCCCCTTCCCCCTTAAGTGGATGTTACTAGAATGATGCACCCGCCTGCGCTAATGGTTTACTCTGGCAAGGCACCAGTGGAGGATTATAGGATGAACATGAAGTCAGGTCAGTTAGCCCATCGTGATAAATTTACCGGGAATTTATCCAAATAGTTTCCGGGGAGAACCGCGTGGAGGTTCCCCCTTGAACCTGACATGGTACATTGCTAGTAATGGGATCATCAGTCCACATTATTAACAATCTCCTTCCCCCAATAGTAGGTAAGTGGTAACCGTAGCCTATACACGAACAGCGCTACTTTACCATGTGACGCCCATGGTATCACTGATGCATTGTCACTCTGGAGGATTCAGATTTCATGCTCATTCACGCCCAATGTAATATTTTCTTTCTACCAAAACACATTACACAGAGCAAGCGATAAGACACAGGACCCCAAGAAAACGACTTAGTAAAAAGAATCAAAACACATCTTGATGCAAATTATTTTAACACTAAAGCAGTTAGCAAGTCATATCAGAAAGTTCTCTGTTCCACTTCACGTGAAACAATGGGTCTGCATTCTACTCTCTGGGGTACCTATTCTATTTGCTCAAACACTTATTCCACATTTTAAATCTCCCATTAAGTCAAGCGTGCTTAACCCTACTCAGTCTGCAACTCAAGGGCAAATTATGTACCCCTAGACATACCTCATATTTTTAACATGTGAGATATATTCTATAGCTATTAATCCTGTCTGTCTGTCTGTATCTACTGAACCGATTTAAATGAAATTTGGTACACAGTTAATAGTATGGAAGAATTGTCAATTTTAAAAATAGAAGCTAGAAACTTTTACATTGTTGAATAAATATAAATATGACATTCCATATATAGAAAAATGTTACACTTGCTTTCATTCCCTATTTTATTTACCCCCGTAAATAAAATAGGGGATGAAAGATTATGGAAATTCGTCATTTTTGAAGAACAATGAAATTTTTTTGTTTGGATACTTTGGGTTAGTTTATTGTATTGAATATTCTTTCTTTATTATATCACTATAACATGCGGACGAAGTCGCGGGCACAGCTAGTATAGTAATAAACTATCTGTTACCCGCGACGTAGTATGTCATTTATAATAGACAGCCTATGTTCGCTCTCGGTATAGATCGCATTTTCACTTCAAATTTCATTAAGATCCATTTAGTCGTGAAAAATAACAAAGAGAAACAAAGAAAAAATTTCAAAATTACGCAATTTTAAAAATTACGCACTTATAGGAAATACTTATTAAGTATAGTATAAAGTCGTCTAATATGCCTAAATACTAGCAACTAAGATCTAATTAGTTTAATCTATTTTTATGTAATAGATTATTAAAAAGAAATCTATCCAAAAAGGTTACAAAACAGCCACATTGAATAACAATAATCACACTCAAAAACATTTTATGCAAAGGCAATGTTCCAAGTTCTAACAAGACAATAAACCATTTTGTTTCGCAACATAAACACACTGCGTTACAGGGTAAAAAACGCCAATTTCCAAACATATCCATTTATTTTAAAAAGTACTGTAGAATGAAATCAATTTGAATAAATCAGTTTTTCAAGAGATTAAAATATTTCTTTTATCGTTGATTGGTTTGCTATTGAACAATAAAATACCATTACAACTAGTACCCCTGATGGGGTGATCAGAGCCATGGGGTACTGTCAACGTAGTGGTAGTCACACTTGATATGCCCACATTTCGTTAAGTATATTTGAATATAGGTACCCTGCTAGTGGGCGGATCTACCACAGTCTCTCAGTTCAAATTACGATTATGGTAAAATAAAAATTATACACGGTTAATAAATCAGAAAATTTGTACGGACATGTGACAATTTTTTTTGTTATGCTAAAATTATTTTTGTTTTGTTAGATAAGATATTCGTTATAATCGAATAAGAATAAGTAGGTACAAATATCCCAAGACCACGGTTACAGTCAACATTTTAAAATTATTGTCTAAATACATTGAGTGCATTGCATGACAATAGTTGTTCATGCAAGGGATTTTCATTCAATGTTACACATAGACACCTATATAAGTACCAAAACAAAGTAAGTAAACCGACTTTTCAAAAAAAGCAATTTTGTTAAGTATATTGCCAGTTACCTACACGATTTTTGAAACGAACTGACGACTTCTCTAAGTCCAGGTAATAAACCACTGGACCACAATGACTTGATCGACCTATTGATGTATTATGACGAAATATAAGGGTCAGTTGTTAAAGTCAGTGTCCATGTGGTATATAGGACAGTTACATATGCTTTCTAATAACCATATCAAAATTTAATGGATAAATATATCAAAATAGGACCAAAACTGATATTTTATAACAGTATCATTAGATAAAAAAAACTGATATCAGATAAATAACAACCAAGTGACTGATACATTCTTAATTTTCTGACTGGTTTTAAATTAATACTTTCGTCATTCTGTAATACGTAGTTAGTTATTGTTCTTATGACTAGTGTAGGATTGAAGTTTATATTTCAGAGAGAACAGATTTTGTTCTCCGCAGAATCATTTATCCCTCTGAGTTTTTTTAGCTATTTGTTTAACCATCAATATCATAACATGACACAACTAGACTTAGGGAGAAGGGAAGGGAAGTATAAATAAAACAATACGTTTTTATTGATTTTTTATTTTTTTTTTACAATTAATCAGTAACATATATATCAAACCAGCCCAAGTATGGCTAAACCCATTTATTTATTACTTATGAACAATACACGAAATTGATATAGTATATATATGTATAGTATTTTTATATTATATAATATGCATTCACTCTACTACATCGAAATCTACAACCTACTTACTCATAATCTAGTTTTGCAAGAGCTCCAAGTAAATATGCCCAAAAGAAATATTGTTGAACTATGAATTACATACAATACATATTACTTTTTGGCAATTAATTGAGTATCATTTCTGTGCATAGCAAAATTAATTTTCTTTAACATGTAACTTAGATCTTATTTATAGAGGCCACAAATATAACATGCGTTTCTGTATTCAGTTCGATTACATAGGGACTTTTTGTTTAACATTATTTATTCCTATACTATAAACATTACTCTTATCGAAATGTAAGAAAAATATCCTTACGCAATAACTGAATTAGTCTAGCAGTGCTGTGCAGTGAGAGTCGAGGGTCTACAGGTGGTGGAGTGGTACGTTGCAGAATTTGTATTTAGATGGACGCGAACGTTGCCGCCGCGTCCGTACGCACCACTCGACCCGCCTCACCGTTGTGCGTACACATTGCGCTAACGATACGATACAATACGATACAACACTTCACATAATGATCAAAACAACTATTTGTCACCTACATAAAATTTGCTCCAAATGTTTATATTAAAATATCGTCTATCGTCTACTTATTGTAACTTCTAATTAGTTACAGCCAACTTTACAAATAATTGATACATTAGACTCTCAAATAGATCTCTACTAACTATTTATTAATTAATGGTAAAAATAAAAAATAAAATACTTCTAAACATTGCATTTCAATCACATAAGGTTTAGTTTAATTATACAATAGATATTATAACATTTTTTAAAACCCGAAAATAAGTATTAATATAAGAACATTGATATCGTTGAGTTCTGGAATGGAAAATAGCACACTTAAATTCACTAACTGTTACACTTATATAATAATTATTGTTCTCCTGTTTTGTTTGTAAAATACATTGCTTCTAGGTATCAGAAAAATAACAGGAAAATATATCGACTATTTGATACACTGATAAAGACCTTAAATTAACTTAATGAGAAGAATGTGTGTACCAAATAACAGTGCAGTGTGCATGATAAGTACGGAGATAAAAATAGTCTGATATAGGACACTATGTGAGGTTACACAATGAGGTAATAGATAAAGAAGTTGAAACCGCCGCCAACGGAACTTCTCAAAACTAGATCAACCATTGCCCTCCAGCCGAACTGGACACCTATTCCACCACCAACTCCACTGAACACTTCCACATATAAACGTATTTCTGTATATTACAAAAACTCTATTGAAATACACCAAACAACAACAATAGAACATTTAAAAGTGGAATTGTTCACATTATTTTCAATACATTATTTAGGCCATTAACCAACTTTGCCATACAATTGGCATCCTGTGACCGGAACATAAGGGCTGGTCGAGTTTTAGAGATTAGTTGCTCGGCTCTATTATTTGGTACGTGACGGATCACAGACGACACAGTAAATACAAGAATAATAATAGTTTCTTGAAAATACAAGAGGTTGGTGTACGCATATATCACTATTAAGGCAGCCATTTGTACAAA